CTTCTGCCTCAGTCTCCCAAGTGCTGAGATTTCAGGCCTGGGTCCTCGCATCTGGTTGTGCCCACTTTCCTGTTCAAAATATTTTTTGTTTGTTTGTTTTTCAAGGCAGAGTTTCTCCGTGTAGTTTTTGGTGCCTGTCCTGGATCTCACTCTGTACACCAGGCTGGCCTCGAACTCACAGAGATTCACCTGGCTCTGCCTCCTGAGTGCTGGAACTAAAAGTGAGTGCCACTGCCCCCTGGGCTCAAAATACTTTTATGCTTATCACCCATTTAAATTTAATAACCCCAAGAGTAGGAAAGGGTGAGGCATCTATTGGACAAACAGAGACACTAAGACCAGAGAGATGAAGTGGCTTGCCATGGTCACACGGTCACACCTCAAACCGCAGACCAGCGGGCCTGAGGTCCTTGAAGTACACGCTGTTCCACAAGAGGTGGGGTTAGGGGCCCAAACGGGAGTGGCCCTACTTAGCTGATGAGGAAGTACACACAGAAGGTCCTCTAGGCCTCAGTGAGCAGCCACTGCGCCCTCCAACTGTCCTCAGTGCTGTTTCATCTCTAGACGGGACTTTACAAACTAGCTTGCCTTAGCCACGGTATCTTGGGCTCAGGACCGTGCCACTTCTGAGCACCCGTCACCCCCCAGAAAGGGAAAGGACCTGCCTTGACACCCAGCAAACCAGGAGCTAACTGCATCATACCGTGGAGCAGCCGAGCAGAGGCTTGTCGGATGCCACTGGTCTCTTGAATGAGAAACGGCTCTGGGAGGGGCAGGTTCTGTGGCCAAGGATGGCAAGTGGCTGGTGTGAGACTTCACCAGGTCAGCTGTGTCATGGCTGAGACCCAGGGTGAACACCAGGTACTTTCTTGTGGAGGTGGGGGTGGGGCGGCGGCGGCGGCAGTGCCTGCCCCCACATCCCACTATGAGAACCCAGCAGAAGCAGGGGTTTTCCACCCAGATCCCAGCAGAGGTTGCTCCATTATTCTGTCTGACCACAACCACTTCCTTCTCTTAAAAACTCCCTCCGGCAGGCAGGCCCTGACACCAGCCAGGCTCTCAGCCGAAGAGAAGCTTGTGCTGGCTTGTTAGCAGGGGCCAGGCCAGGCTCAGGAATGTCCCAGAAGGCCCTCCCATCTGGTGGAGGAGAGGCTGGGTCTGAGGCCACTAGCCTCTGCGAGGATGGGAAATCCTCGCTCTGTGCTGCAATGCAGCTCCTAAGCAGAGGCTTGAGTCCCCAGGGGCTGGAAGCACCTGTCATCCCTGGCCATCTTATAGGTAAGGAAGCGGAAGACAGAACGAAGCCCAATTTAGGGGAGCCCCGTTTTCCTCACTGAGCTCCCGGTTTCTCAGAAGAGCCTGTCTCAGTGAGCTTAAAATAGTCCTGAGCGTCCAGTTGTTTGTTTTGCTTTTGCTTTTGGAGATTTTTGGAGGTTGCCTGGGAGAAAGCGAAGATGCTGTCTAAGCAGTCAGAAAGAGGAAGAGACACCCCCTCCACCCCTGAGGGTTTCCAGGTCCAGAAACAGAAAAGACCACACAGCGAGCGAGCGAGCCGGCCGTCTGGGTCAGAGCCGGCAGAAAGCGCCTGTCAGGCTTGGACCCACCCAGACTCCTGCCTCCCTGCCCCAAGGCCTCAGGTTTTAGACCAGCTGGACTTGGGTCCTACCAGAGATCGCTCCAGACGTGGGGGCTGCAGACCAGGAGAACTGCCCTCCAAAGTGGCAGGCTTGGGGCAGATGGGGGGGCACTCCCATAACTCCGGCTGTTTCCACTCTTCCAGCCCCATTTTGCCCCACCTGGTCCCTCTGCTCTCTTCTTCCCAGACTTTGGGACACCGAGTCTCCAGGCACCCTGGCCAGGGAGAGCTAGGCCTACCCATCCCAAGTTATCGGAGAGCCTGGGCTGCATATTTGACAAAGCTGTCCTGGGATTCTCCTACTCCTAGGAGGAGTTGGATCTAGTAAGTGACATTTGCTGGGCCTGACCCAGCCAGCCAGCCATTCCTTCCCACATCCAGGCTCCCAAACTTTATTCCTTTCTTCAACAACTCCTTATCTAACGCTCACTCCGCATCCTCACAGTAGGTCACACGCTCCTTGTCGGACACTGGGAGAATATAAATGAACAAGGTGGGATGGGGTCCCTGTCCCGGATGAGCTTAAAATAACCAGGTACAGAGTGGTCAGCAACGGAATGCTATTGAGCACACAGACAGACATTGGGAAGCTGCAAGACAGAAGGAAAAGAACCAGGGCAGCGAGATCCAGAACACGACCAAGGAGGTGACCTCTGACCTGATTAGAAAAAGAGCAGCATTTGGCCAGAGGACAAGTTCTTAACAAAATCAGCCCCACACTGAGCTCTCTACAAACCTTTACTGGAATGAATTAAGCCGAAAGCTTAATTTCCATTATTTCCATCTTTACCACAGTCCTGGAAAATAGTGATTATCACACCCATTATACAGATGACCAAACGGAGGCTCCAAGACACTAAACGGATTGTGTTGTAACCAGTAAGTACGGAAGCCGGAACTAAAGCCAAGTCTGCAGAAGGCGGAGGGGAGGGAATGGGTTTCCGTTGCTGTACTGATGTACATTTGAATTATATCCACAGACATTTGAAATTATCCTTATATTACATTGGTTTTATTTTCTCCCCCCCACACACACACACACAAATAGATTTTCAAAGCTTGTTTTTGTTTGAGGAGTTTTTGCTTTGAAATCAGAAAAAAAAAAATTGAGTGTCCATTACTATCTAAATTTTCCTAGCTTACTATAGCAAACAGGTTTTTGTTTTGTTTTGGTGGCGGTGGTTGGTTTGGGTTTTGGTATTTTTGAGACGAGGCCCAGGCTGACCTCAAATCCAAGCCCCTCCTGCCTCAGTTCCTGCATACTGAGGCTCCAGGTACACCTGGCCACACCTAGTAGCCCGGATGGGTTTTATCATTCAAAAGTGGTGCTGTTTGTAAGAGCTAAGTCCTCCGCGTCCAAGAAGGACGGGGTGACCCAACCCCCAGAGCATCTGCAGTTCCTGAGAAAGAGGCCCGGGGGTTTTGGTTGACCAGAGTGAGTCAGCAGGATGACATGCTGCCAAAATAACCAGGCAACCAGCAATGTGCTTCCTGCACCTTGGGACTGGCCAGACTTCTCTTGAAGTTTAGGGTGCAGGAAAACGGCCTCAGGGCTGGAGCAGGACTCGGCACAGCTGAGCGGCCTGGAGAGGAGGCCCCAGGGGGGGTCCGTACAGGGCATGCACGGTTGGTATGCAGTTATGGCCAGAGCTTTACCTGGAATTTAGCCTACCCGGATAAATGATGAGGTCCCCGTTGCTAGGAAAACGCAAGGAGAGGCTGGGAGATTGGCTCGGTCGAGGGCAGCTGTGTGGGCAACTGGTTCTATTGGCAATTGAAGCATCAGAGTATTTGTAAGACACGAAGAGGGAGGAGCACGCTGAATGCGGTCAGCTTCACAGAAAGTGTCCTGAACTACGGCAGCAATCAACAGTGGTAACAGCGCGAATCATTTGTCACCTAGTGATTGAGTACCAGGCTTCTGTGCTCAGCACAGTGCCAGAGTTCTCTGGAAGGTGTGTGGTAACAGGGATTGCAGAGCTGCATGTCCAGCCTCTGATTCAGGGCGTCCGGGTGGGGCTAATTCCCAGATGATGTTAATGCTGTGGTTCTGGACCGAGCTTGGAAAAGCACCATCTCCTTTATCTTTGCATGTATCACACCACGTTATGACAGGCTCTGCTAGCATCCCTGCTTCACAGACAAGCCAACAGAACACAGCCATCCGCCGGGGCCCCTCGTAGAGGGCAAATTATTGGTACAGCTACTGAGTTGGTATCCGGATTTTTCTGACTCTGAAGTTAAAGCTTTTAATAAAAACAATCAGCCCCTCCCCCATTTGTTGGCAAATAGAAATTAAAAAATTATAATTGTTTAGTAACAACAAGCCTTGCAAGTTTCCTCTTCAAAATAGAAAATAAAAATAAACAGTGTGCCGGGCGGTGGTGGCGCACGCCTTTAATCCCAGCACTCGGGAGGCAGAGCCAGGCGGATCTCTGTGAGTTCGAGGCCAGCCTGGGCTACCAAGTGAGTCCCAGGAAAGGCGCAAAGCTACACAGAGAAACCCTGTCTCAAAAAACCAAAAAAAAAAAAAAAATAAAATAAAATAAAATAAACAGTGTGATACTTGGAAAAGGTTGAGAAGGAATTGCCAGCACAATGACTGGGAATCAGGAAGACCATGAGGTGGGGGTGGGGGAAGCAGGTACTTGGTTAGCCAGCCCACTCTCTCCTGCTTGGAGGGACTTTGGGTTAGCCTCTGATAAGCAGGAGATTTCACCATTCTATGGCTCCAAGGTTCTCAGGTGTTGGGCTGTCTGCTGGATGGACATTTCCCCTGTTATGATGTAATTTACCAAACATGTACAAAATGTCTTGGTCATAGAGCAAGCTAGGATGAGCTACAAATAGGCTAAATAAGAGCACTATCAAGGTACTAGATCATAATCCCCAGTGCCTGGGAAGGCTGCCTTAGCCCTCAGAGAGGGTTTTGCAGACACAAGGAAGAACCTTAAAACGAGGTAACCATCTTGAATCATTATCTGAGCAAGCCTGAAGTATCCATCTATGTCCTTTGAGAAGAGCTTAGAGGATGCTGTTGCTGGCTTTGAAGATGGGCAAGGGGACCCACAAGCCAAATAATGCATCTCTGCATGCTGGAAAAGTCCAAGAAAGGGACTCTCCCTGGAGACTGCAGGGGATGCATTTGATTTTAATCACGCCCCTCCCCCCAAGACCCATTTCACCTTCCAGAACTGTAAAATAATAAATGGCTTCTGGTTCTCCACACAGCGTGGGAGCAAATAAGTGTGCCCTCACTCACATTCCTACTCCATTGCTGCTGGCCTTGTGCGTACAGAGAAGCAGGTGCACGGGGGAGCACATGAGGTATCCCATCCTGAGAACGAGCACTGCGCTGGGCACAATGGTGCTGGCCCTTAACCTCAGCACTCGGGAGGCAGAGGCGGGTGGATCTCTGAGTTCCAGGACAGCCTGGTCTACAGATCGAGTTCCAGGACAGCCAGAACCACATAGAGACCCTGTCTCAAAACAAACAAACAAATAAAAACAAGAACAAAAAAACCAAACTGGGCACCTGTAGCTACTTAGACCTCCCCAGACCATTTCTGGTCTTCTTTTCCACAGCTAAGTACTGAAGAGTTACATTCCTTCAAACAAACAAAAGCATCATGAGCCTGGCATGGAGCTGAATGTTGAGTGCAAAGATTTGAGTCAGATGGTCTGTGGGTGGGGGGAGGGGGAGGGACAATGAGGTAGGGCCTGTGGCGTGGGTGAAAGGAAAAGAATCGGCCCAGGACCCCCAAGACCAAGTTCTCAGCACAGAAGAGATTTATTTGCCCCGGAGGAACAGAGGACAGGGGGGAGATAGAGGATGAGGGAGAAGGGGAGGGGAACGGGGAGAGGGGAAGGAGTATTTGTCCCAGAGGGGGACAAAGGATGGCCTCTGGATGGAGATAGACAGGGTACACAGGCAAATGGCAGTTTATAAAGGTACAAGGGGACCCCCGTGTTAGGATGAGCTGTTTAATTTTGATTGGGCATGTTAATTAGGTGAGCCAAAGGGGGCTTTTGATTGCTAGACTTCAATACTTTGATAGCTGGACCTCGGTAGTCAGCCTCGGGAGGAGGAAGTGGCCAAATAAGGGAATGGACCATGGTGGCCAGCTTTAGAAATGTCGTCTCAGGGTTTTCAGCAAGGCAGAGGGAATGGGGGAGAAGGGCAGGGCCAGCAGGAGCCACATGCTCGAGTGGGCTCGTGTCCCTTCAGGGGGGGTAGGGACGGGAGGTGGGCAGTAAGTCAGACTTGGTCCTGTGTGGTTCTGGTGAGGTGTCCCTGAGGGACAGAGCAGTGAGGTGAAAAGACCATTGTCACTCAAGGTGACTGTAAAGGCCTTCGGTGGGGTTTGCTGGGGGTGTGGCTCAGAGGGACAGCACTTATGGCATTCACAAGGCCCCGATCCCCAGTATCCACCCACTACACCCCAAAAGAAAGGAAAGATGCTGTTATGCACTGCCCTTTGTTTTGCTGTTGTTTTGGTTTTTCAAGACAGGCCTGGCTGTCCTGGAACTCACTCTGTAGACCAGGCTGGCCTCGAACTCCCAGAGATCCGCCTACCCCTGCCTCCTGAGTGCTGGGATTAAAGGCACATGCCCAGCTCTGTTTTGTTTTTGACATGCTCAGATCTGAGAAGCAACGATGGGGTTGAAAGACATAACCTAAAAGAAAGGCTGTCCATGCTGCCCGAACACTGAATCTCTCTGCCTTCAAAAGAGGGACGCCACTCCAGAGGGTAAGAGCACTGGCTGCTCTTCTAGAGGACTGGGGTTCAATTCCCAGCACCCACATGGCGGCTCACAACTGTCTGTAACTCCAGTTCCAGGAAATCTGACACCACACACACAGACATACATGCAGGCAAAACACCAAGGCACATAAAATAAGTAATTAAAGAGGGGGTGTACTCTCTAGGTTGGGGAGAGAATTCAGGACCTTGCTGGAGTCTGCAGGACTGACTCCAGTCTGTTTTAGTCGGGTTTTGCTTGTTCTGTTTTTTTCTCAGGTTGTGTTTGTGGATGTTTATTCATCCTGTATGCCTTTTGCTGGGGAGACATCAATAGAGAAGTCTGTTGGTGCCAGATAGGGCACCAGTGACCAACCAAAGCAGTTGCTCTCAACTTCCCAATACTTGCGACCCTTTAATACAGTTCCTCATGTTGTGGTGACCCCCGAACCATAACCTTACTTAGTTACTACTTTATAACTGTATTTTTGCTACTGTTCTGAGTCATAATGTACATGTCTGATATGTGGGATATTTGATATGCAACCCCCAAAGGGGTTGTGACCCACAGGCTGAGAACCACTGGACCAGAGACTTATCTCATCCAAACCTTGTCTAGTGAATCAGTGAGTTTATTGGGGTTACATCTGCGGGGAGCCCAGTCCTCCATGGTGACAGCTCACAGAGTACTGAAGCCCTGGAACTCCCTCCCTGCTTCCGGCACAGCTGCACCAATGGGAGAATCGCTTCCGCCCAGCAATTGCTTACTGCCTGTTTGTTTGTTTGGGTTTGGTCTTTTTTTTTTTTTTCTTTCTTTCTTTTTTGACAGGGTCCTGTGTATCTCAAGCAAGACTGAAGCTAGCTATGCAGAAGATGACCTTGTATCCCTGATCCTCCTGCCTCCACCTCCCAAGTGCTGAGATCACAGGTGTGCACAAGCCCGCTTGGTCTCTGTGGTTCTGGGAATGGAACCCAGGTACCACATACGCTTGGCAAGCACTCTATCAACAGAGCTACAGCCGCAGCCCTGCTTTCTAGTCTTGAGGAGGGAGTTTGTGAGTCCTGTAGGCTTCAGGAGCTTCCCAAACCATGTAAAGTTTACTTCCTAAGTCTTGAGTCTCCTTCCTCAACTCCAGGAGGGAAAGCTTAGATCTGAAGGAGAGAGCCACACAACAGTTTCTTGTTTTGTTTTGGTTAGGTTTCTTGAGACAGCCCAGGCTGTCCTGGAACTTTGTAGATCAGGCTGGTCTCAAAGTCGCAGAGATCCGCCTGCCTCTGCCTCCCGAGTGCTGGGATAAAAGGCGTGCGCCACCACCGCCCAGTTTATTTGTTTGTTTTAAGACAGAATCTTAATTTGTTTGTTTTAAGGTAGATGTGTAGCATAGGCTGGCCTGAATTTTGTGATCCGCCTGCCTCAGCCTTTCAAGTGTTGGTGTGACAGGCATGCAGCACCATTCCTGGCCTCCAATCTGCTTCTAAATAAAGCATCCATCATTTTAACGAACATGCAAAGATTGGTTGGTTCTCTGAGGCTAATACGAAATTCTGGAATGCCATCCTTGGAGGTCAGCGGTGTGAAGATAAGGTCTAACACTCCCACCATGTGGCCCCTGATGTGAATCCACAGGCCAGGCTGGGCCCATGTGTTACAGACAAGAAAGAGCTGGAGCCACAAGAATCTTTGGAGGGGAAACCTGGATGCTCACAGAGGCCTTCCCAGAGGAAGTGGTACAGAACTTCCATGGGGACAGGTGGCCATAGCCAGTCAAGACAACTGAAGGAGAAAACGTTCTAGACGTACATGTCACCCCAGCCCAGTAGCTGGGGGAAAGTCCAATAGAGTGACCCCAGCCTCCTCGCTGCCTAGAGGAATTCTGGGACTCTGTCCTACCCCTGAGAACCTCTGCGAGATGACTGTACATTCTTTACACTGTCTGATTTCCTAAGGATTTCTCAGGATGAGATTTCCTGTTCATACACCACCTGGGACACCTTCTGTTTCCTGGAACGGTGTGAGGAGACTGTGGAGAGGGGTCCTAGAATTTTTCTAGAATTGGTTTGCTGTGTGACAGTGGACCAGTCACCTCTCTCTGGGCTTTGATTTGTCCATTTGAAAAGTAACAACCGAGGACAAGTTGAGTCCTTCCAGGACCTCTGGTGTCACCTTGGGGAGGCAGCACCCTATAGTGATTAAACCCCTGGTTTAGAGTTCAAGTCCTACCCCCAGCATTTACAGGATCATGGGCCCATCATTTCTCTTCTCTCAGGCTCTCTTTCCTCATCGGTGGCTTCTGGCTCGTATGGAGATTAAGTGAGATCATAGACATAAAGCATTTGGTGCTGTGCCAGACCCAGCAAATGGCGCTGCTGTCATTATATTCTGTAATGGACGTGAAATGGAATGTGCCAGCGCCGCTGATGGCCGTGAAACACGCCTTCACCCTCAGGGTTTGCCGTGAGCGCAAGCTCTGCAAACAGCAACAGAAGGTCCCGATGTGCGTCCAGGGGAACACCCAGGGCTGGGTGGCTCTGCTTTGGCAGAAGCTGAGGGAACTCCCTGCGGAGCCTCCTTGGTGGACGGCAGCCATGGGTATGAAGCCAATTCCCGGATGCTGTCCCACAAAAGTGGGCCCGGGGTGGCTGGAATCAGCTCAGGGTGGCAAAAGAAATATCCTTTGCCCTCAGCTGGTAGAGTCAGGATGTCGGGGCAGAATATAGAGGAGAACATCGTCTTCCTTCTCTTGTGACCTGCCCGGGGAGTGTCTGGCTGTTCCCATATCAGTCTAATCCTAACCGCCTGGTGTCTATTCATTTTTCAGCTTATGTAGTCTGACTGGTTTTTATACAAAAGACAGGAAACCAAGGTCCAGAGAGAGGCAGGAACTAGCCAGAGGTCACACAGCAGAACAGAATGTAGGTCTCCCAGGCCACTGTCAGAATCAGACAGCCTCTTTTAATTCCATCAAGTCAGTGAATGGCAGGCTGTTCCCATGGCTGTTCCAGATGTTTCCTATCACCACATTTCATGGGAATCTGGCCACCCAGTAATATTGGGCTTAATCCTTCCAGGGAAAACGACTCCAGTTCAAGGGATCCTAGGGAGCGAGTGCTGGCCCGTCATCACAGACAAGCAGTGAGAGAGAAACCCCTCCCAGAGCTGTTTGGTTACCAGGGAGAGCAATTTGGAGTCACTGGGGCCTGAACCCTCCTCACTCACTAGCTGTGTGACCTTGGTCTTGTCCCTCTGCCTCTTGGCTGGTATCCTCGTCTATAAAATAGGATTATATCCACCTCTCAGGTCTGCATAGACTTGTTGAGGTAGTGAATGTAAACTACCAGGCACAGAAATAGACACTTGAGTTTTTTAAATTATTATTTTATGAGTATGAGTGTTTTGCTCGCATGGATATCTATATACTACATGCATTCCTGGTGCCCGTGGAGGCCAGAAGAGATCATTGAATTCCTTGGAACTGGTGTTACGGATGTTTGTGAGCCATCATGAGTATGGTGAGAAATGAACCTGGGTCCTCCGAAAGAGCAACCAGTCCTTTAATTGCTGAACAGTCTCTCCAGTTCCAACACTCAGTATGACTGTTGGCATTGGCCATTGGGCTTAGGAGGTAACTCAGAAGTAGAGTGCTTGCCCAGCATGTGTGTGTGCCAGCCTCCTCCATTGCAAACAACAGGCTCTACTGTAGGTTACCTAATAGAAAAGGACACAAGGAACAGGCTGGAAAACTATACAGCCAAGAACAATATCCCAAGAAAGCTACTACCCCCATGCAGATCTAGCGTCTCCAGCTGCCAGCATGTGCCAAGGATGTTCTACAGGCATACTTCTCCATGACGCCCTTAGTCCTTCTCTCTTTACTGTTAGGATGGTATAGGATGAAGGACATGGAGCGCTGGCTCCTGCGGATGGACCAAATAGGCGAAACACACCTGTAAGCAATGTGCAGCCAAGGCTGCTTAGAGTGAAGAAAGGCTCTGTTCTATGCCAGTGTACAGATTTGGAAAGCGATGCTGAGCAACTTCCCCAATATTGAGGAGGTCACACAGCTGATTAGCAGTGGAGCCTGTCTGGTGCTATAGCGACGCCCTTACCTACTTCCCACCCCTCTTTCTAATGTCCTGATCTACACTGGGGTGCAGAAAGAGTCTGCTGAGAGGCCGGGCGGTGGTGGCACATGCCTTTAATCCCAGCACTCAGGAGGCAGAGGCAGGCGGATCTCTGTGAGGTCGAGGCCAACCTGGTCTACAGAGTGAGTTCCAGGAAAGGCGCAAAACTACACAGAGAAACCCTGTCTCGAAAAACAAAAAACAAAAAACAAAAACAAAAACAAACAAAAAAAAAGATTCTGCTCTCCATGACAGAAGAGTTCCTCATGCCTCAATAAAGAGACATGCTTCATTTGTCTTTTTCTCCTCTCTAGTGCTGAGAATCGAACCTGGGGCTTTGTGCATGCTAGGCAAGTGCTCTAACTGCTGAGCCATCTTTCCAGCCCCAGCGCTTTTAGTTCTTTTTGTTTTTGTTTTTGTTTTGTTTTTTTCTTTCGAGACCAGGTTTCTCTGTGTAGCTTTTGGAGCCTGTCCTGGATCTCGCTCTGTAGCCCAGGCTGGCCTCAAACTCACAGAGATCCACCTGGCTCTGCCTCCCGAGTGCTGGGATTAAAGGCGTGCGCCACCACCGTCCCGTGTGCACTTTCAGTTCTCTTGATCTACTCTACTGTCAGATTCCCTGAAGTCCTTTCATTTTCTAATATTACTTATGTATTTTTGATAGCTATGGTTTATCTGCTTCACCTCACGCTCCGAGAGAGCAGGCATCCCTGTGCTCACCAGAGGGCAGCCACAGCAAGAGAGCAGGGATGTTTGTTGAATAAATATGAAGACCAGCTCTGGGGTCACACAGTGGGCAGGTGGCATAGCTGTGACTTGGATCCAGCGTTATTTGGCTCCAGAGCTCCAGAGCCTTCTTTCTAGGGCCATTACAAAGCTTAGCTGGGTCCCCACCTCGGCCACATAGCACACTGCCCGGTAGAAAGTTAGTGTGTTAGAACATTGAATGATATCGAGTTGTTACTAATGGGGTTTTTCTGTCCTCCTGATCTCATGTTCTACTTTGCTTAATGGCGCAGCCTTCAAGGCTGGAGTAAGTCTTCAAAGTTGACTTGGCAGGTGCACTGACATGACCCTCAGGTAGGAAGCATGCTGTTGTGCCAGCAAAGGTAGCAGACAGGCCAACCCCTCCCAGATAGACAGCCAACTCCTCCCAGACAGACAGGCCAACTCCTCCCAGACAGACAGCCAACTCCTCCCAGACAGACAGGCCAACCCCTCCCAGACAGACAGCCAACTCCTCCAAGACAGACAGGCCAACCCCTCCCAGACAGACAGGCCAACTCCTCCCAGACAGACAGCCAACTCCTCCAAGACAGACAGGCCAACTCCTCCCAGACAGACAGGCCAACCCCTCCCAGACAGTCAAGCCCTCAGAGAGAGACAAGCTAACCCCTACCAGTCAGACAGCCAACCCCTCCCAGACAGACAGACAACCCCTCCCAGACAGACAGACAACTCCTCCCAGACAGACAGACAACTCCTCCCAGACAGACAGGCCAACCCATAACAGACAGACAGGTCAACACCTACCAGACAGACAGGCCAACCCCTATCAGTCAGATGGCCAATGCCAACCAGTCAGTCAAACCCTCCCAGACAGACAGATCAACCCCTACCAGCCAGCCAGCCAACCTCTCCCAAACAGACGGCCAAGGCCAACCCCTACCAGAAAGACAGGCCAACTCCTACCAGTCAGACAGCCTGCCAAGCTCTACCAGTCAGATGGCCACACTCTGCCAGACCTGATCTTCTACACCGCCCTGCCCACTTGATAACTGACCTGAAATTCTTCACCCACAGGGGCTGTCCACACACAGATTTCCTGTCCTCTGAGAAGGGGAAGTCCATCCAACAGTTTACTATGAGTCACTGGCTCAAGAATTGGCAGAGGTATCTTAGAGGAGAGCTCTCTGAGGAGAGGAGAGAGACCTGGATTCTAGAAGGAACATCGCTACTTTGACTTAGGTACTTTTGCTGACTACATTGAACAAGTCCCCTCCATGGCCTTAATTTTCTTTTCTGAAAAATGGGATATTAAATCTTTTTTTTTTTTTTTTCCAAGACAGGGTTTCTCTGTGTAGCTTTGTGCCTTTTCCTGGAACTCACTTGGCAGTCCAGGCTGGCCTCGAACTCACAGAGATCCGCCTGGCTCTGCCTCCCGAGTGCTGGGATTAAAGGTGTGTGCCAACACCGCCCGGTGGGATATTAAATCTTTACTTTCCTGGATGTTCTAGATAGTTCTGCCAACTTACTTTTGTTATTACTCTTACTGTCTGTCTGTTTATAATAGTGTCACTATAGCCCAGGCTGGCCTTGAACTTCTGGCAATCCTCCTTCTTCAGTCTTCTCAGTGCTAGGATTACATGAGCCACAGCACTCGGGTAGGGTAGTTGCACTCTGAGTGGAACTGGGGACACCTAAGTATCTTCCAACTGGGTAGACCTGGAATGGTTGCTGAGTCTGGAGATTAAAGTCACTCGTACCGGATTCAAATGTTGCCACATCACTTTCTAGCCGTGTGTTGCTGGGAGAGTAACAGAAACTTCCTGAGTCTCGGTTTCTTGACCTATAAAGTAGATATTTGATTTCTCAGCTGCCGATAGTCTTATCAGCTGATCTCTAAGCTGGTTTGGAAGATTAACTGAGACTTGCCTACCATGAGGCAAGTTAGAAGTGGCCCAGAATGATCTCTCAGGAACAGGAACCGGTCCTCAACCTTTGATGCCCTCTCATGTCCTCACTACATCACTGAGGCCACAAATCATTGTTACAATAGAGAACACTTTTATTTGTCCTCTTGTTGTTGTTGGTAGCAGTGCTGGAGACTGAACTCTGCCACTAAACCACACTTCTAGCCACACCTTAACTAGTGACAAAATAAGTTCACAGTAGGAAAAAAAAAATCAAAGCAAAGAAGTAAAAAAGAGAAAGATTACACATAACCTAACAGTCAGAGGTAAGCTCAGTTGAGAGTGAGGCTGACGCGCCTGGATTTCTGGAAATTGAGAACTGCCTGTCTGCTGGGCTTTGGGGCAGAGGCGAAGTCTCAAGGACCACTACATCCCAGGCTGAGAGGCTGGACCATCTGTGCATGTTAAAAGGATGGAAAAGGCAGTTCAAAACACACAAAGAGAGAGAGAGAGAGACAGACAGACAGACACAGAGAGACAGAGACAGAAAGGGGCAAAGACAGAGACAGAGACAGAGAGACAAAGACAGAGAGGCACTGACAGACAGACAGACTGACTTTTGCTTGGTTCCAGCAATGCTGCCTTATATTCCCAGACATACGGAGTAAGAATGTGTTTCTACCTCACTTTAGGGAACTAAAAATGGAAAGGGATTTATGAAAAGAAAAATTCTAATTCAGAGCAGTGGCCCAGGGCTGGGGTAACTGTGTTCAGCGGCAGTACACTTGAACACAGCATATTGAACCAGCTCAGGTCCTGGTTCAGTCCCCAGTCATATTAATTACTTATCAATTAATTAATTGAGACAGTAGTTTGCTCCTCTCACACTTGAATTTGCCCCAGTACTGAGCTTGTCGGGCTGAATGTCAAGGTCTATTGAGTTGTCTGCCTCTCTAGCAAACAAGAAACATCTTTTAGAGTCTGGCCGTGTCTCCTCTGCTTCTGAAGAGGTCTGCCACTTAGTAGCTTGGTCGATGTTCTGGTGAATGAAGAGAAGACGGAAGCCGAGCTGTAGAGAGCAGGGTGACAGGGTCTTAAAGCTAAATCCAGACACTGCCACTTCGTAACTGCACTCAACTTGGGGAAGTCAAATCACGTCTCATCTCTAACCTAATTTTCTCTCTTGTGAAATGAAGATAATTTGAGTATCTGCTTTGCAGAGGGTTTTGAGTTTGAGTGTTTATTTATTTAGAGTCAAGAGTCTCAGTGTGTGACCCAGACTGGCCTCAAGGTGACTGGCTCACCTGTCTCAGCCTCTGGAGTACTGGGGACTTAGAAGTCTGTTCTATCACACCCAGCATGTGCGTGCTAGACAAGTGGTCTTCTGCCGAACCACAGCCCAGCCCTCTGTTCATTCTTTATTGGTGGGACATCTACTATGTACTGTTGATCTCTTTTTATTTGCAACTTTGCCAAGCAGGGCTTGGATTATAGCTCACTGGTAGAGTATGTCACTGCCCTGGGCCTTAATTCTTAATATGGAGGTTATAATTAGTATTTTCCTCATATAATGATTATGGGGGGGGCAGATAATAAATATAAAGCATTTAGTACAGTGTATTGCACAACTAAGTAGGAACTCGGTAAATTGTAGCCAATACTTTGTAGGTATCAGCCAGTCTCATGACCCCTTGAGACCTTCCAGGGACGAGTGACGTACCAAGACCAAAACCACTTTCCAAGATTCCTGCAAATCCCTGGCGGGGGGGCGGGGGGGGGGGGGGAATCAGCATTATTTCTCCTGGTCCAGCTCCTGCTTTGCTCAACCTGTGGGCCTGCACTACAACAAAACACAGCTCTGCTGGGCTCTGAGCCATTTCCACGAACACCCCCACTCAAGGCAGCACCTTGGTATAGTAAGACTTTTCCTAAAGAGTTCCAGGGTAGGAGACACGCCACAGCTCAGGGTGAGCTGAAAATCCTGTGCTCCCCAAAGAGATTCAGCTGGCTCCTCTGTTGTTGCTGTGCTGTTTGTTTGGGGTTTTCTGTTTTGTTTTGCTCAATGTTGTTTTGAGACAGGGTCTATGTGGTCCTGGCTGTCTCAGAACTCGCTCTGTAGACCAGGTTGGCTTTGAACTCTCAGAGATCCACCTGCCTCTGCCTCCTGAGTGCTGGGATTAAAGGTGTGCCCCTTTGTTTTGCATTTGAGGTAAATTCTTACTGTGCAGCCCAGGCTAGCCTAGAACTCACTATGTAGGTTACAGAGGCCTTAAACTCGTGACAATCCTCTTGCTTCTGTGTCCCAAATGCTGGGATTACAGAAGTCCACCACTTTGCTCAGCTCTTATAAATTACATTTAACACATGTGTGCATGCAAGAGGAGGGGGAGGGGAGGAGAGAAAATATGCCTGTGTATGTCA